GGCACATCATCCCTTGGACAATTGCTGCATGCAATTGTGGCTCAGAGCCTGAAAGTTCCCTCAAGACTGTGACTCCTGCTGCTGCCACTATTGCTGCCAATAGCAAAGCTGCACACCTCAAAAGTGCTTTGTAATATGTCAAGTGAACATCTAAATCAAATTGGCATTTGGAATAAAGGATGTGTAAATGATTGGGCTGGTAGCGAGAAATGGACTCCGACATTAGCTGGACCCAGAGAGCTGAGAGCTGGACCTAAAGGTGAAACTGAACAGTAATTTATCTTTCTTGTCATTTCCTTACTGGAGCTTAAAATATTGTTTATAGCTCTCACCAACCAACGCACTCAACAGTTTTGATTGATGTATGAGGCATCACCATGGCAACCGGCATAGGAGAATGATAAATGACTTTGGCAGGAGAGTATCTCCTTGTGGATTATTAAGACCACCTAAGAGTTGCATGAGCTTTTGCCTATTTGTATAATATATGTAAGCAATGACAAGTTGTTCTTGGCTAAACACACACTGCCTGCTGCTGCTGCCCACGCAAAGGGTTAATCGGGTTAGAAAAAAAAAGATCATGATGATTAAGAAGCTGACAAGGAAAGATGCTGCAGGTATGGCATTTAACCAATACTAACGAGGGGCAGTACGTACACTGGTGGCTTCAGCTTATCCCTTCTGATACATTGTGACGGGTGAGTGATGGAAAAGGCAGTAAGAGCCTTAACAGAGTGAGAGAATCAGTAAGAGAAAAGAAGTGTTAAGTTATGATTGCCAACATCCGCTGTTTAAATGCAGTTAGATCCCACCAGGATAAAAAAAATAACTAGTGTCTGGTAAATGGTTAGTTCACCAAGTATAAATCTTGGTAATGGAAAGACCTCTCACTTTTTTTACCCTTCAAACATAAATGTTAACCCGCCGGATTATACACCTGAGCACGTTTCAGAAGGCACAATTGGGGTCTTTGTATGCAGAATCCAGTAGAACCAGTATGCCCTCTACTGGTCAAGGGACAAAATGCAAGTTTTAGGTACATTCAGGGCAATGTTCTCCTGCAGTTTGTGTGGCAGTAGAGTAAATAGGTGTGCACAAACTCCCATCCTGCCATTCTTAAAACAGATGAAGGGATATCATCATAGAATAGGAGATTTGAATAAGACATAAAACTAAAACCTCTCTCTTCTCATTATTTAGTATAGTTACAGCTGGAATTGAGTGATTTCATTTGCAAGGTACAGCAAAATAAAGTGGCATAACAGGATTAAACATAACAAGATTATTGCTGACTGACTCTACACAATTCACATGTAATTGCTTTACACTTGTCCTACTGTGTTAACCAAACTGAACCTAACTGTATAAACCTTTTCTGGGGGATCAACTCTGAGGCCTTTTCAGTAACAAGGTAAAGGCTCATTTGATTCTGAAGACATTCTTCTTTTACTGAGACTAAGAACTGCTGTATTAGGAACAGGTGAAGCATGTAAGGAGGCATTTAAAGGAATTCACTTTCTTAAAAATACAGTACATTTCCCTTTTAAGAACTTGACTCTTCGCCTGCAGGAAAATTGGCATCACATTGTTTGATTGTGAAAAATGAAGAGAAAGGCTTCTTTTGTTACTTTTGACACCCCTGTGGTAATCCATTTAGAATAAAAAAAAAAAATTATAAAACCATTTATCACCAGTAGGTATATCCTGCAGCGGTGTCCAATTTATCTGTAGCACAACCCACACAAAATATGCCCATGGCATAGTTTATGTAAATAGACCATGCAAACTGTATGAAGGGTAATGGTAATATCCCTGTGAGATGACAACTCAGCCCACTGCAGCTGATATATCACTTTTCTGCTGTGCTGGAGTGCATTTGTTTAAATGTTCATGCATTTTCAGTGGGCAGAAATTCTCACATAGAACATGGCTTGACAATACATCACACATGCATGTACAGTACCACTCACAAATTTGGACTCACTTTCTCATTCAATGTTTTATTTTTCTTTCTATTATTTTTAACCTTGTAAATTAACACCAAAGACATTAAAGCTATGGAATTATACAGTAAGCAAAGAAGTGTTAAACAAAGCAAAGTCTTGCTGGCAACTTTGCACACTATTGCCTTCAGTTGTATCATGGTGAGGTTATAACCCCAGCTACCGTAGTAATTCAATTTTTTATAAGAACCATACATAACTAAAGAGGAACAACAGGCCATTTATACATTAAAACACAAAGATCAGTCAGTCCAGAAAACTTCAAGAACTTTCAAAGTCCCTTCAAGTGGAATAATGAAAATCATCAAATGCTGTGATGAAACTGTCTCTCATGAAACCTGCCCAGGACAGGAAGGCTAAGAGTTTGCTCTGCTGCAGAGAAGAAGTTCATTAGTGTTACCAGCCTCAGAAATAGCCATTTAACAGCACCTCAGATCAAAGCCCACATCAGCACTTCACAGAGTAGCAGCAGACATCTCAACATCAGCCATCTGGAGGACTCTGAGTGATTCAGGCCTCAAAGTGCTGCAAAGAAATCACTACTAAGTCACTCCAAAGGAGAGCTGCACAGGAATTCCTACGTATATGCCTAGACTGTCTAGGCATACATGGCAAGTAAAAATCTTGACTTAACTTGACTGAGGGACAATCATAAGAAGAAGAGACGTGACTGGGCCAAGAAACACAGACACAGACGGACATTAGACCAGGGGAAATCAGTACTTTATTCTGATGAGTCCAAGTTTTTTGACTCCAACTAGCGTGTTTTGGTGAGACACAAAACAAATGTATCTGCATGTGGCACCTGCTGTGAAACGTGGAGGAGGAGGAGGTGCAGTAGAGCTCCTTTGCTAGTGTTTAGAATTCAAGACACGTGTAACCAGCGTGCATGGTTACATCAACATTCCACAGTGACACGCTGTCCCATCTGATCCAAGCTTAATGGGACCATCATTTGTTTTTCAACAGGACAATGAAGGAAGGAAAGAAGAAGAAGAAGAGAGAAAAGGGGAGAATGCTCCATCAGACGGCCTGGCCGCCACAATCACCTGACCTAAACAAATGGGGTGGTTTGGGAGGAGCTGGACCACAGTGTGAAGGAAAGGCAGCCAACGAGTGCTCAGCATATGTGGCAACTCCTTCAAGACTGTTGGAAATGCGCTGCAGGTGGTTTCCTCATGAAGCTGGTTGAGAGTGCCAAGACTGTGCTGTTATCAAAGCAAAAGGTGGCTATAACCTAAGATTTAAAACATATTTCACACTGGTTATACTTTTTTTGCTTACTACATAATTCCATATATGTTAATTCATAGGTTTAACGTCTTCAGTATTAATCTACAAAGCAGAAAAAAAAAAACAGGTATCAGTCAGCAGTACAAGTCAATGTCCATACTAGAGTTCTTTTCCTGTAGATTCGGATACTGTCAGAGATCTATAGTTCAGTCTAAACAGCCTAGTGTTCCAACAGCACTGCAAAATAGATTGTGGGAGGCAGTGAATTAATTAAAAACAGCTGCCTGCAAGACAGAAAGACAGGCGGGCAGAGAGACAGGCATATAGTGGCACAGACAGGTAGGTAGGCCTGTCAGCGTCATACACAACAAACACATTTAGTGCCGAGAGACAGGTGGACATGCTGCACCTCATACCTTGGTTTCACACATACACACATCTGACAATAGGTGTGAGAACACTCACTGACGTAACGCATTCCCTTCCCATCACAATGCCCAATCCTCACCCTAACTTAGACCTAAACCGAATTCTAACCTTGACACTAAAGCCAAGTCTTAACCTTCAAAAATCCCCTTGAATCTGTGAAGACTGGCTAACAAAATGTTATGACAATGATGGAACTGAAAAGCAAAAAAAGGGTTCACACAATGCAATAAAGACACAAGTTCAGTGTAAAAGCATTAGACACAGTCTGTCAATCAACGGAGAACCGCTAACACTATGATGTGTGACAACACCACAGTGTGAGTTGTCATACTTTGGAAAACACTCAAAATCTGAAGCATCCTGATTGTCACAGTGGTATAATGACTAAATAATCAAATATTCTTCAATGAATAAATGAGCACATATGAGCATGTTGTGGATATAGTTTGATTGATGGAATATGTGGGTAACCAGGCTAGACCGACGCATGTGTGCATACATGATCTGAAGTTTGTGTCACAGTGTGCCAGGGAAAAACTCCGTCCTGAGCCCGAGAACAACTGATACTACTACATAATTTTAGAAAGCTTAGTATCTACGGAGCCCTGCGATGGATTGGCGACCTGTCCAGGGTGTACCCCGCCTTCGCCCGATTCCCGGCCGGGATTGGCTCTGCCCCCCCCCCCCCCCCGTGACCCCGCTCAGGGATTAAGCGGTAGAAAATGAATGAATGAATGAATGAATAGTATCTACGGGGAGCCAAGCAGAGCTGAATAGATCTTTCCGTAGTGAAAGCATATCTTCAGTACAGTAAGTGCATTTAAAAGTGGACATTTTTAGCACATTGCATTATTCTTAAAATGCATTTTATGATTTCCATTAACCAGAAGTTCTTCATCAGTGAAGACAAAAACAACACATTCATTAATCACTGGCATTTTAGCTTTGGTTTGTCCATTAATTGGTGGTGGCACCCCTCTCCCTCATTTGTTAACTTAAGCAAAAGTGGAGAGATGACAGGATCACATGATGCCCTCAGATTTAACTTGTGACCCCATGGAGAATCGTGTTGTTGGGAACCCAATTCTCAGTGGGATTAGCAGAATATTCAACATTTCCAGGGACCTATTTGATTTGATGTAGTTTTTGTAAATAATCAGCTAAGCAGCCTAACATCATGATCATGGTTGGAGCTAAACAATTTGTTGTCTTAGTTCAGATTTTCTAGAAAAGTGACTCAGTGGATTACATCTGCCAGTCTTACATAACACTCTCATAAATGGCAGAGGTGTAAAGTAACATGACAGCATTAAAACACCAAATTGACACAGTGAGTACTGTAAGACTTTTAATTATGGCTTTAAATTTTTAATAGAAAAATGATACTGCTCTTTTCTGAGCACAGGACCAGAAAAAAAAAATCAGCTTTAATATCATATTCAGTCTTTTATACATACTCTTTATCTCTCTTGCCTTTATTCTCTGGGTCTGATTAAGCAGACTTTCTTCTGTTGGATTCTCCGCCTCTCTCTCTCTCTCCCCTACACACACACAGACACACACACAAACACATCCGACTTTTCCTTTCAGGCTGATTTTGCCATCTTTATTTCACAGTTCACGACCCTCGAGAGTTGACATCAGCCTTCCCTGCAGATTACTGCCTGGATGGGTTTTGTATCCTTTGCTGTGGGTAATTTCCATTCCATACCACAAGAAATTATACTTGCATCTTGAATCTTACAGTGCATTGTCCAGTCCAGCTGACATTGGTCCAAAGCCACCAGCCCACCCAGGAAAACATTTAAGTAGACAGATAAGCTAAAAGGGGGATATTAGTGTTAATATTTTACTTTATTCCTTTTCCCCCTTTTCTAAATAACCTTTATTTTATATACCTGAAATGTGTTGACAAAACAAAAACCAATATATATCATTTGGTGTGCATAGATATTGATAAAGTGCAGATAGCATTTGTTTAAAAAATGTAAGCTTCCTGTTTACTTATGACTTAATCCTGTCTTTGAAGCACGTGGATGAAAACAAATCCAGCCAATCACTGCTGTTTGTTTTTGTTGGTCCTGATCTGTATACTGCATGCAAGGCCATCACTGGTAACAGTTTATTTTCCTCCCAATGATTTTTCCAGTTTGCTCCTCCATCACATATCTCTGACAAACACTTACTGTAGCAACCAGTGCATCCACTAAAAGCTTCCAGACGATTACTTGTTATTCCTCGGCTGTCCTGGTGGGGGCAGTGTTTCTGTTGAGCTCTACTTCTCATTCACCACAAAGATTTCTTCAGGAATTTTTTCCTCTGAGTCAGAGCAATTTGACAGTTTGTCCAGGTATACCATATCACCGAAGCGCTCAACAACGCACTGGGCTGTCAGACGGGCCTCTGGGTCATGGTCCCAGCACTCCTCTATGGAGGCGCACACCACCTGGATGCCCTGCAGACAGGGTGGAGGACAGACAGACAGTTAATATCACTCACTTGGGGCAAATTGGAATGATTCAGAATATCATCACCACAAACTATGAATGTTCATGTGTGTCAGTGCTTTTCGATTGATCTGCTTATGCCTCTGTCAGTCTGAGTCTCAGTGTGTTTTCTATGAGTAAAAACAATTATTACTAACTTATTTGTCAGCTTTGTTTCATAATACACACTATACAATACAAAATGCATCTTTTCATATAAAAAAAGGACAATTCATATCTATACAAATCTCCCATACAGTTGTGTTTCCCTATAAACAATACAAATACAGTGGTGCAAAATTTCTTTCCTGCTGCTTTTGTCAAGTTATCACAGGTTTAATTTGCCCAGTCATGGTTCTTCAGAAATGGTGAAAATGCAAGAATGCACAAAGTTCTCAGGTTTGTTCCTGAGTTTAGTTTTGAGGAGTTGAGGATCCATAATTCCTGAAACTGTTTAGTCCAACATGGTTATATAACATAGGTTATCAAACAGTATTGCTTATTTATTTGTTTTATGTATGAAAATTTAAAAGAGCTCTGAGATCCTGATTGATCATAGAGTTACCTCAGATCATAAGAGATCATGAAATCAATGCAAGGAATCTGCATTTACAAGGTTTTCCAACAGTGCCAGTTTGTCACAGATGGCATGCATGTATAGTATGTGATGGTGCCTCTTACTGTGTGGTTGATCCAGCTGTTGGGGATCTCAGGCCTTCCTCTGTCTCTCAGAACGCTATCCTTCATGCTCTCCACACACGGGTGTTCCCTGAGGTTCCCAAAGGGTGGCTCGTACTCTTTCACCTCTGCACATGAGCACATGCAAATAAAAGACCGGTTCAAACATTAGCTTCAAATGGTAAGCTTTGGTTGTTCTAGATGAGCAATAAATTTTGAAACGGTGCTCTAAAACAAAGGGGCGCTTGTCAAAGGCAATTCACCAGTTGAGTTTACTTAGGTCAAGATTTCAAAGCCCTGGCATGAACAGTCTGAAAACTGTGGGTCAAGAATTCCCAAAGAAGATTTGCTGTTGCATGAATTAATATATCACTGCAGTAAACCAACAAATAGAATTCCCTTTGGCTTTGAAGTGTGGAGGGCCTGTACAAAGAAAACAAGTTTCAGAGAATCCTTTGAGGTTAAAAAAAGCCTGATGAGGCATATGACTATGGGAGAAATACTCAAGAACATTTAAGATCAGGAGATAAAAATGCACTTTAAGAATCACATGGCATTCCACAAATAACCCCTGACCAAGACAGACAAAAGCCTGTAAACAGAAAACACAGGGAACATTCACACACACTTTGACTGTTGTCAGTGATTCCTCTTAGAGTCAGGGAAAAAATTATTTGAACCCCAGCTGATTTTGTAAGTTTGCCCACTAACAAAGAAATGATCAGTCTACAATGTCAATGGTAGGTTTATGTGAACAGTGAGAGACACAACAATAACAAAAAAATCCAGAAAAATGCATTACAAAAAAAGTTATACATTAATTTGCATTTTCATGAATGAGATCATTGACAAGTTCCTCCTGAGTAGTTCTGGGCTGATTCCTCACCGTTCTCATTATTATTGAAACTCCACGAGGTGAGATCTTGTATGGAGCTCCAGACCGAGGGAGATTGGCAGTTAATTTATGTTTCTTCTGTTTGCGAATAATCGCACCAACAGTTGTCACCTTCTCACCCAGCTGCTTGGCGATGGTCTTGTAGCCCATTCCAGCCTTGTGTAGGTCCACAATCTTGTCCCTGACATCCTTGGAAAGCTCTTTGGTCTTGGCCATGGTGAAGAGTTTGGAATCTGGATTGATTGATTGCTTCTGTGGACAGGTCTCTTTTATACAGGTAACGAGCTGAGAGGGCTCCCAATGTCAGCTCGTTACCTGTATAAAATACACCTGGGAGCCAGAGATCTTGCTGACTGATAGGGGATCAAATACTTATTTCATTCATGAAAATGCAAATTAATGTATAACTTTTTTTGTAATGCATTTTTCTGGATTTTTTTTGTTATTGTTGTGTCTCAGATGTTCAGTGGCAAACTTCAAACGGGCCTGTAGATGTGCTTTCTTGAGCAGGGGGACCTTGCGGGCACAGCAGGATTTCAGTCCTTCACGGCGTAGTGTGTTACCAACTGTTTTTTTGGTGACTATGGTCCCAGCTGCCTTGAGCTCATTGACAAGTTCCTCCCGAGTAGTTCTGGGCTGATTCCTCACTGTTCTCATTATCATTGAAACTCCACGAGGTGAGATCTTGCATGGAGCTCCAGACCGAGGGAGATTGGCAGTTAATTTATGTTTCTTCCATTTGCGAATAATCGCACCAACTGTTGTCACCTTCTCACCCAGCTGCTTGGCGATGGTCTTGTAGCCCATTCCAGCCTTGTGTAGGTCCACAATCTTGTCCCTGACATCCTTGGAAAGCTCTTTGGTCTTGGCCATGGTGAAGAGTTTGGAATCTGGATTGACTGACTGTTTCTGTGGACAGGTCTCTTTTATACAGGTAACGAGCTGAGAGGGCTCCCAATGTCAGCTCGTTACCTGTATAAAACACACCTGGGAGCCAGAGATCTTGCTGATTGATAGGGGATCAAATACTTATTTCATTCATGAAAATGCAAATTAATCACACCGCACAATGTGGACATGATCCTGGTTGACTGAAAGGGGACAGCAAGGTCTGTCCACCTTTTCTTTTTCTCCACTCTATCCCGGTACAAAATGGTTGACTTGTCAGAGAGACACTCTGGCTCACTCCACCAGCTTCTCCTTCTTTGTAATGGTTCAACAGAACCATGCCTTCAGAACATAATTTTTACCGCTGCTTCTGTGTCCACTATGCTGCTTCCTGTTTGGTGCAGGAGAGAGCTCATCTATTGGTTATTTACAATATTAATCATGGTTGATTTTATCAGAATGCCAAGACAAGAAAAAGAAACTGCTTGGATTCTCACCTTACACCAAACGATGATAATGTGAGCGCGACACAACTGTAGCAAAACTCTCGCGATCTTATTCTGGCGGAAATTTGTCTCCAACATTGAAATCGCATGCAAAGTTAGATGCAAGGCCAGCATAAACTAGTTTGTACATAATACTGTGAAATGACTGTACTTCCTTAAGAAGTCAGAAATGTATCATTTGTAGCAGAAACTAATTAGTCAATGTTAATCAAAAATAATTGTTGTAAATAAACACAGATTTCAAACAAACAGAAGGAAAGGCACAGTGCAGGCTTGTTCTGCATCTGTCCCACAGAGTTTACAGAACTGGAGCAAGGCACTGCCAACCGGAATTGACCCATTTTATATGTAGACAAATATATAAAAAATAAAAGTGCTGGCTAAAATGTTGACTGGGGATCTGAAACAGACCATCATGGTTTCATTTCACTCTTTCATACACACTAAAAAAAAAGAAGCTCACATGACACTGTGATGCCTGCAAATGGGAATTGGAGGCTTCAGGGACAGACTAATGCAACAGAGGACTCTTTTGAGAAGCTCATACTTCCTATTTTTTTGGAAGGAAAGCTCCTCTGGTTTGGAGAAAAAGCTTAAACATAACCCCACCCAACCATCAGTCAATAATCAAGAGGAAAGGACACACAGATGGTTCTTTTTGTTTTGACAGCTCTGAGGGAGTGTATAGCTGCGTGCTAGGCTGCAAATCCACTTTGTAAACTGTTGGGCAAACATGTTTGTGTTCATCCCCAAACAATGGGTCCAAAATATGAATCATACTACTGAGCATTTTACAGTGTAAACAAAAGTGTGTATTCCAGGATGGAAAGACTGGCAAATGGTGCTCTAAAAGGAAAGAACCTTAAATTAAACTTTGAATTAACAAAAACTTTTGATAACACAACACAGTGAGGAATGCTGTGGTTTGGAAAAACCATGCACTATATTGACACAGTCGCTGCAAAGCCATGTAACAAATCCAGCACAGAAACAGTGAAGAACTTACAGCGTGTCTATTTTCCATCCCAGTTATCAGGCATGTCTGTAAAAACTGTGAATCTGCAGTTAAATGTAGCTTCAACAGCAGGCTAAGGGAGCTTCTCAGTGACTGCCACTGCTCCAGAGCTTTTATGATGTGTGCATTTGTGGAGACAATATGTTTTTGCCTCAGCTCTGTTTTTCATACCACACTGCTGCGCTTCAACCACCCATCCTTAATCTTTCCCTTGTTTTAAATTACATCTCTATCACATACACGTTTTGAGCTCAGTCATACACATATGTTAGGATGCTAAAACAGCAGGAGCAAGGTAATCATGACTAAACTAAAAGGAAAGAGAAATAAAAACCATCTTAAAATGATTATAGCCAAGTTGCAAGGAAGCATGTTGCCCTTCAGAGTTAACATTTGTATGCAATTATTCTCAAAAAGACAGATATTCAAAAAAAGAAACCGAAATCCAACACACATAAATAATGCAGGAAAGTGATACAAACAGTTTCAACATGTACTTTAAAATAAATGAGTCATTTATGACTAACAAACTCCCAGCTGCCTCTGCTGGTTTTCATTAGGCTGTGATGGCTGTGACACTTGTTTTGTGTTCTCACATATTGTTCAAGTCATTCAGTACAGAGACATACATGTACACTTTGCATAGCATATTTTTGGACATATGGCATGACTTACCCTGGAGGGTTACCCTACCATTAACTATAGATGACTCATTCCCTAACCTTCACCTAGGCTCATTAAAGAAGACCAAAGCTATGTTAACTCACGCTGCATGCAAATTCAGTAAAACCAGACTGGGCACACATTTTGTACCCAATTCATCCACAGTTAAGGACAGAATGAAGTCCAGATTTTGTCCCTAAATGTTGTGGAAGTACAGGTGGCAGATGCCACACAAACACATAGCCACCAGGCGATCAAACCCTCCAGTCCTGAAGGGGTTCATGATCTGACATCTGGAGAACAGCTGCCCTAACCTCTCCCTCTAGGGAGTGAAGGCATTCCCAGTCTCTAGCCGGTGTTGAATACCACTCCACTATTATCCCGCTGCTTGGTCCCACCCACCAAAGGAACGCGTTCAGTCTTTCCAAGTGCTAAATCTGGTCTAGCTAAATTATACAGGAGGGACACTTTAGGGAACAGAGGCTGAAGATTAAAAGGCCTGGGCCCTGAACTTCTCCTGCTCTGAGGAGGGTTCATCTGTTTCCCTCCCACTCTAAATCATCCTATGTCTGTATAGTCTTGAAAGATAAAGAAAGCAAAGTAATAGCTCATGCCTGGCTGACTGGCGTTGTCGACAGACGGCTGTGTTCTTCTCGCCTGGCAAATCTCAGATCAGACCACAGCCCTAGGAACTGT